CCCCAGTAAGAGTGGCCCACACTGGACCTCCCTGGTGGCAAAAGGGGTTAAGGCTCAGCAATATGAAACTAGCTGCAGCCACTGCAGTACAAGCCAGGAAGGTGACCCACATGGTGCAGCAGACCTCTCCAGCCTTGCCTGCTGCTCCCCTCAGCAGTGTATGTCAGTAGATCTGCAGTTCTGCTCCCCATTCAGTCTCTGGTGAATCCTCGCACCCCTCCCCCCAAACCTCCAGCCGATACTCCCATTCTTGTATGCATAAATAAAAATAAATCTTTAAATAAATAAACCTGGAAACAAGAGATGCTGGAGAGGATGTGGAGACAGAGGAAACTTCTTACACTGCTCATGGGAATGTCAACCGTTCCAACCACTATGGAAATCTGTGTGGATGTGCCTCAAAATACTAAAAATGGATTTTGTATATGATCCAATGTTTCCACTCCTAGGAATCTTCCCAAAGGACACAAAGCCACTAATTTGAAAAGAAACCTGCACTCCTATGTTTATTGCATCACTATTTACAGTAGATATAGAAACAACATAAATGCCCTAAAATAGATGTGTGATTCAAAAAGAATTATATGTATATAAATATTGAAATATCACTCAGCAATCACAAAAGATAAACTCATGTCATTCAGGGCAACAAGGATGGATGTAGAGGGATTATTTTAAGTGAATTGAGCCTGGAGAAGAAATACCTGATGGATTCATTTGTATGAGTAACCTAGAGAAACTAAACAGGGGATCAAAGACAAACAAGGACTCATCCTGAAATAAGAAAATAACACCCAAGACACTCATGAGAGGAGGAGGAGCGAGAAGGAGAGAAAGAGAGTAGAAAATAGGGGGAAATGAGAGCACAATGGAATATGATAGAAGACTATGGGCACTTTGTTTGAGAGAAAAATATGATGACCTGAAAAATATGAGGACACTTTAACGGAGTACTCCTACATTGTGAAAAAATAAACCAGTATGCTTAAAGAAAAAATACTAAACACAAAAGTGGGTTTAATTACATATGAATGGGATTAAAGAAAATGGGACCCCACCAGCCCCTGAGCAGGAGGAGATGGTTCCTGAATCCTATTGGGGATAGTGCAAGAGAGACCAGACAGCTTGCCACCTTCTGAGCACACACACCAGACCCTGTCCACAAGAGCATAGGTCTGGCAAACATTAAAAAATTATTGATTGTGGCCCTCCCTGGTGGCACAGCGGGTATTAGATCATGATCTAATACCATACACCAAAATCAATTTTAAATAGATAAAGGACTTGGATCAAAAACCTGAAACCCCAAAATACATAAAAGAAAACTAAGCATACATTTTATGACATAAATTTGAGTAATGCCTTTAGGGCTTAAGCCTCAACATCAAGGAAAACAAGAAAAAAGAACATAAACAGTCTGGACTATATCAAACTGCAAAGCTTCTGCATCGTGAAATAAACCATATCTAAAACAAAAAGACACCATGCTGAATGTGAGAAAAGAGTTACACGCACAGTATATATGATAAGGAACTGATATCAATGATACACTATGGACTCACCAAACTCTACAAAAATACATTAGCCCAATAATATTTTTTTTTAAAAAAAGGGCAAATGAACTAAACAGTTCTTCAAAGAAGACTTTCAAACAGTCAAATGGCACATGAAAAAATGTCCACAATTACTGAATTATTAGAGAAATGCAAATCAAGACCACAGTGAGATATCATCTCACACCTGTGAGAATGTCTCATCCCAAAAAGAACAGAAACAAGTGCTAGGAGGATGAGAAGAAGGAACCCTCCTACATAGCTGGTAGAAATGCAAAATGGTTCACCCCTAATGGAAAGCAGTTTGGTGGTGTCTCCAATGTTAAACATGGATCTGCCATTTGACCCAGTAATTCTAATCCTAAGCATCTAAAAAATTTTCAAAAAAATCAAAAACACAAATTTGAAATGAAACATGCACTCCCATGCTTATTGCAGAACTATTTACTATAGCAAAACTGTGGAAGCAATCAGTGCCCAGAATAGATAAGTAAATCAAGCAGATTTAGTATATATATATGTATATGTGTGTGTGTGTGTCTGTGTGTGTATCATATAAATATACACACACACAATATGGAATACTACTTATTGATCTAAAAAGATAAACTTGTGCCATCTGTGGCAACATAGATTGAGCTTGAAAGGAAAATGCTAAGTGCATTAAGTTAGAAAGAGAAGGACAAAGATAAATACCCATTGGTATAACTAATATGTGAATATAAGTAACTACATTTGTAGTCAGATAAGTACACGCTGAAAAATTAACCCTTGATAGTTTATTACAGGCAGTGGTTGGCAGAAGGGAAAGAACAAAGTGGCAAGGAAGCACAATGGAATAGTACCTCCAATAGTACTTCAATTAAAAAACATATAATTACTAAAAGAAAAATAAATGAAAGATAAAAGTCACATGATCATATCAACATATGGAAAGAAATCATTTGACATGATTCAGTGTCACTTATGATGAAAATGTTCTTAGGCAGAAATACATATGTCAATATATGAATACCATATGTGCCAAGCCCACAGCTACATCATACTCAATATCAAGAAACTGAAGCCTTTTCCTCTAAGTTCAGATATAAGACTTTCTACTTACACTACTACTTTTCAATATTGTGTTAAATGCCCTTGCCAGAAAAATTAGACAAGATAAACCTATAAAAGGAATTCAAATTATAAAAGAACTAAAACTGTCACGATGTGTATGGCATAATACACATTGAAACCCAATATGCCACAAAAAATTCAGAAACACTGTCTGCCTTTCTATAGGCAAACAGCAACCTAGAACAGATAGAAATCCAGAAACAGTTCTACTTACAAGTGCACCAGAAAGAATCAAGTGCATGTGTATCATAAAGTATAAGACATTATTAAAACAGATATATAAAGTCACAAAGAATTGGAAAGATATGTCATGAATTGAAAGAATTAATTGTTAAAAAGGCCATCTTGGACCCTCCCTGGTGGCACAGCGGAATAAAGCACAGCACTAAGTAAAGCCAATTCAGCATGAGTTCCATCCCCACCCCGGAGATGGAGATGACCCACATGGCCCGGCAGACTCTCCTGATCCACTCACTGCTCCCTTCAGCAGAGCACTTCGGTCGATCTGCCTGTTCTGCTCCCCACTCTGTCTCTAGTGAATCCTCTCACCACCCCTGCACCTCTGGCCTGTACCCCAGCTCTGTATGCACAAATAAATCTTTTTTTAAAAAAAAAGAAAAAGAAATCTTTAAAAAAAAAAAAAAGACCATCTTATTCAAGTCAATAAGGGTTCAATGCAATCCCTATCAAAGTTTCAGTGGTATTCTTCAAAGTAAAGGAAACATTACTGAAATGTATACACTGTCCAGTTGAAATATATGTTCTCCAAAACTCATTCTTTTTCAATGAGTATGAGTGGATAATCTTGACAATGATGGCTAATGTAACCAAAAAAAAAAAAAAAAAAAAAACAATGCTAAATTTCTATTTTTGACACACACTATGGTTAT